ATTCTAACATATGGTTTTTGTTGTAATTCCTTGAAAAATTCCAACAAGAGTAGTAACATTGAAATATACAATGCATTGCTGAAATATATTTATGTTGAAATTTTATTTCAATATTCTTAAAGTTTGACAAAAGATATTATTATACGTAACCCTTGCGATACACTGAGAACAATGACATTGATAAATCGTATAAATTAAAGCAGTGAAAGAATATCTGTTAATATATAATAATTTTGAAAATTAATATTAATTTATCTCTTTATTTTATATTTCCATGATATAATAGTTTAATTTATTATTTATATGTATATTTCATATGTTATTAAATATTTACCATTTTAGGTAAGGAACATTAATATATAACATATTCAAATATTATTATAAATAATACTCACATAATATTTCTCTTTCTCTCTTACCTAACATATACCTTATTACAATATATTATTCTGATTTCTAAATAAGTGATTGTAAAATTGTGAAAAATATAATAAGCAGACACTTAATTTTTTTCTTAAAAATAAAGTATATATTATTTTAAATTTATAAAATTTACTAATATTTCAATTAGGTCAAAATTATTTTACTTTTTTTTTATATAATTATATTACAATGTATATTATAAATATTTAGATTTTTTTTTTCTAAATTAATAAGTCACATGACACTTCAACACCATTTGATTTATCATTACAGTTTATAACAATATATATTATGAATATTTTAATTTTTTCTAAGTATATAATTTACATCGTTGTTTGACAGATGACTCATTTATTCATTATAATCTATAATAATACATATTATATTTATATTAATTATTCTTTCTAAGTTAATAATTTTTACGAATACTTCTACAGGATAATAATTGGTTTGCCATCATAATTTATAATAATATCTATTATAAATATTTAATTTTTTTTCTATGTTTATATGATAGTTGAATAGATTACTCGTTGGTTTATCATACTTCATAAAGGTTGCACGTTAACCTTTATATATATATTTTTAATAGAAATATATATTTGTATTGTGAAATGTTATTTAGCATTATCCAAAGTTTGACGTGGAAAATATGATTATATGCTTAAAAAAAAGTCATAGTATAATACTATCATACTTGGTATTGCAACTCTTCCATTTTGCAAACCATATAATAAGAAACATGATCAATTTTTATTGCATACTATCCTTACAATTGCTTTTATTTCACAAAAGTTTGGACATGTAAGAAAAGACGCATCCCTATATATAATTACAGAATGTACTGAGCTTAAGTGGAGTCTCGTATGCTTTGGAATCGTACTTGGCGAAAAAAAAATGTTTCGTAGCTTGGTTTGGATAAAAATAATATTATTCTAAATCAATAATTTTAGGTTCGGACATTCCAAAAATGTTGAAAAACTAACTTGGTAATTCCATAATAGTTTAACTAATATAACCCTTAAGTTGTATTGGAACTTTTGGTAATAATATTGATTGACTAATATAACATTGATTTATTTTGAAAGCTCTCAATCGGCTCATTCATTTCCATGAAAACTTCAAATTAGCCTCATAAATACATATATTTAAATTTAAACAATTGTTATTGTTATTATTATCTAATTTTAAAAATATTATTTTTAACAATTACCCGTATAGTATACGAGTATTGTACCATTTAGTATTATTAGCATGTAATAATGTTAGCTTTTGAGTATAGCGAATTTTCCACGGATGTCATGTGCAACCTTGTTGGCTTTTTGCCCAAAAAGGAAAAACGAATCGGATCTCATATCTTTTATCGGCTTGGCTAATTGGATCGGCTTGCAATTTGCTACGACTAAGCCACTTTCTTTACATGAGATGAGAGGACTCAAATTTGGTCACATCATCAAAATTGAGATTGATAAGATTAGTAGGATATAAAATTTTTGTTTGTCCCTTAAGATGAAAACATTTATTTTTATAAAAAATAAAATAAATTCGAGATTTTTAATGAATATGAGATAAATTATAATGAGTGAAGTTGATATGATATAAAAATAATATAATATTTACTGATAAGATTGATAGAATATGTGGGCAAATAAATATTGAATTTTTGGAATATATTTATTATTATTTTTAATTGTGTCGGTGAGATCGTAAAGAAAAAGTAATGTCAAATTATTAATATATTTTTTATTTCTTCTTACATTTTAAGTCTTAATGTAATAGATCTTTGCTGAACAAATAAAAATATGTTTTTTTACGTCTAATCGCTGATCCAGATTTTCGAAGTATCAAATTATTTTTTCGATTTTGAATTCAATAAGGATGTTGGTAAGAGCCCGTGGATTGGGAAATTTAAATTATTACAAACTGATTGGTACAATGAATAAGATTATGTGTTAGTTAGTATAATTATTTTTTACAAAGTGATATATAGTTACTCCTTAAACTTATTGTTACAAACGTAAAACAAATATAATGTGGTTGTTTATTGTCAACTAAATAATATTTCTAAACTATAAGCAAAAATGTATATATCATAATTATGATTTTATGTTGCATGTCTATATTATATGTGAAATTATTAGGCATGTACAATATCATCTAGGGCCTATGAGTTGTGTTAGCAGTAGTACCAATATATAATCTCTTAAAAACACAAAAACATGTGGAGATAAAAATGTAGGTGAATGTACTTTAATTTATTTATAAGAAATAGTCATTGGACAGAAATTTGGCATAGATTTCTTAATAAAGTTACTTTTATAGCAATTGCTTTAATTACTCTGTGCTTTTTAATCGAATAATAAAATCTCATCGATTGTGGAAAAAGAAACATTTTAAGTAAATAATATTTATAGAATAAGACAGTGTGGCCCTTTATCTACATTGCCTTAAAAGTCATCAAAATTATCAAAAAAACATTTGGATGCATACATTTGGATCCTAGTAACTAGGAGTGTGCAAAAGAAATCAATATAAAAATCAAATTTACATGTTACTCATAAATAGAATTGTTAAACGAAACAAACTGTTCGTGAGCTTATAATATCTTTTACTTAATGAGTTCAGTTACTAAGGGTATCCATAACCATTTAACACAAATACCATTCATTCAATAAAAAAGTAACACTCTCTCTCATTCACATCATCTTTCCACTAAATTTCTCTCCATTTAAACACACACTCATTTAAATACATATGTGGGACCCATTATCCACTCATTCTATAAAAAATAGTGATTTTAAAACAAAAACAAAAGATATAAAAAAGGGACACAATTGCCGTTCAATGAAATGAACGGAAAGTGGGGTCCACCCCTTAATGAACACCCACAATGTTATTAAAGGTCAAGTTGGCATTTAAACAAGTTGAAGGGACAATTGAACGCCCCATTGCGGGAGCCCTAATGCTTGTTAAACTTGATAAATAGAAAAATGCTACATGTACATAATAAATGTACATATATAGAAGTGTACATAACACTCACATGGAATAGGGCCTACTTTATTTTTTATTTTTAGTAGGACCCACTTAATATGAGTGTTATGTACACTATTATGTACTTATAGCATTACCCGATAAATAAAGATTTTTTTTATTATTATTATTTTTTTAAATTTAACATAGATCAGTTTGTTAGGGTTCCGACCAATTCATTGTTAAGTGAAATTCGAGCTCGTTAATTGGCTCGTTAACTTAACGAGTTGAATTGAACTCGTTTACAACTCGTCTCGTCCGATACAAGTAAGATAAAAAAAGAAGATATTATTACAAAATAAATATAGTTAGAACAAAATTTAGGTAGCATTTTTTTTCATATTTTAAAGTTTCAAATATATGAAAAAAATATTTTGATTAAACTTCAAAACTCGAATATGGCTTTTAAGCAGACAAAAAAGTGAGGTGACCTCGGCTTAAATGGTGTCTTAAGCCACTGTTGGTGGCGGTATCACTATTCACCTCAAAACGCACCTAACCAGCCACTGTTGGCTATACTTGATTTTTGGGACCCACATATTTCCTTACCTTTTTTTGTTTTAAAAAAAAAAAAAATCGATCNAATATGTTACCTCGACATAAAAACTGATATTTTGTGATTGAATATAAATTATTTTTCAAAAAGAAAAAAAAAAAATAGTAATTAAGAAAGTGACTGAAGAAGTTTTAAAAAGTGGAAGAATGAAATATTTCATATTGTAAATGAATATAAAATAAAATATAATAACTGAAGTTTGCGTGATATAAAAATAGTAAGATAATTAATGATTGAACACTTTTTGATAAAAGACATGTAAGTGAATTAATAAAAAGATTTATCGAACAAAGTGTTGTAATATTATATTTTTATTTTTAGTATTGTTGATAAATATGGGAATAAAATAACTGTAAATTTTAAAAATATATATAATCACAGTTTTAATGAAAAAAATAGAGTAATGAAAAGTGAAAATAATCTATATTTAATGTCCTCTAATGGTTCATATTGGAACTTTATAAAGTGTTTGTTTATGATAATTTTTAAGAAGTCTGACTTTATTGTTTTGTTAGGAAGCCAACATTAATTGAATCATAGTGGAGCCGATATTCTACATATTATAAATAAAAAATACTATATTTTTATTGAAAAAAATAATTTTTTTTTATTTGATATTTTTTATTTATTGTGTATAGTGTTGACTGTACTATATAGCCAACAGCAGAATTGCTTCTTTATGTAAAATTGTTTTTTATAGTGTTGACTGTACTATATAGCCAACAACTTTGATATCTCTAAATTGGATCTCTAAAATGAACCTCAAATAAATTACTAAAATATGTTATTGTGGAAATGGTCTTTTACTTGTATAAAAGTCAATTTAAGAAGTGCTCTCACATAATAATATTTAAAACACCTTAAATCACATAGATTTCACTGTTAATATTATTTGATTCTATTCTTATCTATACAGTATATAACATTTATTGAACATTATAATTACACCATAAACATCTCCATCAATAATCAACTCCCAAAATCATGTTTACATAATTCTGCAACAATATAAATACCCTTGCTATTCAATTTTATTTATTATAAGATTTTAATCTTAAAATATGGAAGTAAATTAACTTGAACCAATAAAATATCCATTTCTTGGACTTTTATTCCAAACCAAAACAATTCTAAGAAATTTCGCATAACATTGCAGGGATCTAAACTGAGTTTCCCAAAGGAATTGTAAATCAAATTGAATATTTTAAATTATTTTAAATAATTTTATTTTACTGTTAACCAAGTTCAAACAAAAATATTTATATTAAATACTAATTGTATGATTCAAAATTCATTTCAATTCGATTCTTTTAAGTATAACTCTAGCCTATTGCTATTGTGCTCCTTCCTAATCTATACACACACACACAGAGAGAGATACAAAATTAAAATGAAAAACAAAAAAAGAATTTTCTGCTATTTGTTTTTCTTGGAGTTAATTATAACTGCCATATTTTATATTAATTGAGTAATAATATATATTTTTTAACTATTCTATCATATAAAGTTATTATTAAAACTAACAAATATATTTATACTAAATAATATATGGAAGTTACAAATATTAAAAAAAGTTATATTGTAAAATCTTGTCTTCAATTTACTTTTTCTTAAACCAATTTTATCTTCTTGATTTTTTTTAAATCTCATAAAACGGTAATTTTTTTAACAAATTAATTAATTTTAATGGTATAGTGAAACCTTGAAAACGCATAAACAATTGTAATAATAGTAAATTTAATATTTTTTTCAAATAATTAATTGATCTGGTCTGTCAAAATTATAAGAAAATATAATATTTATTATATTTTATTCAATCAATATAGTGATTCAGGTGATATAGTTATGTTTATTATAAAAATAATGAATTACAAAATTAGATTAGGATTAGGATCTAGCTCCAATAATCAGACGTCATTNCCATACAAAGCACGAACCATACCTGACGCCGAGCACAGCACGATTTTTCAGCCCAATCGGCAAATTTTCTAGAGCACGGAACAGGGGAGCGTGTTGACGGTATCTGTATTTCACCTCAACCAGATTTTGCACGGGATGCCGCCGGCGGCGGGAGTGGTGTCGCGGAGCGATCGTATTCCGATGAATCCGGCGGCGCCGCCGCCGCAGACCCAGCCTCCGATTGTCGCGGCGGCGGAGGCGCACGCCAAGGACGCGGTAATCGCGTGGTTCCGCGGCGAGTTCGCGGCCGCGAACGCCATCATCGACGCCCTCTGCGGCCACCTGGCGCTGCTCGACGGCGGGGCGGCGGGGGAGGCTTACGGGCCGGCGTTCGCGGCGATCCACAGGCGGCGGATGAACTGGATCCCGATCCTCCAGATGCAGAAGTACTTTCCAATCGCCGACGTTGCGGAGGAGCTGCGGAAGGTCGTCGAGGGGAAGAAGGTTCCCCCGCCGCCGGAGGCGGACGGCTGTGAGGAGAAATCGAAGGATTTGAATCTGGAGAGCTCCGTGGAGAGCAATGAGGGCGGAGACGGCGGCGGAGGTGGCGGAGGAGAGGTGGCTGATGAGGATTTCACGTCGGAGGTAACGGACACAGGTAATTGACAGAATCTCAGATCGCGATTGATTGATTTCGCTTGAATTTTGAGATAAAAAACTATTTCCAGGTTGATCTAAATTCTATGCATCAGCAACCATTTGCTTTCTTTTTCAGCAATTTAATTAATCTCAATTTCCAGTGAAGGTCTTATCACCATTTGGGATGATTAAATTTGTTATCTGCGAATTCTTCATTTTAATAACAGAGTTTAATTTGATTTTGAGCATTGTTTGACAAAGGCAAGCTTTGATTGGCTCGTTTAGTAACTCGAGCTGGGTTGATTTCTTAAAATTGAAATTTTCACGTATTTTTTAAAATTTTATCTTATTTTGGTCCGTTAAAATTCGAGTTCAGTTTGAATTTTAGTATCAAAAGCTCGAAATTAGCTGGATTTATTTACAGTTGTGATGCTAGGCTAATATTAGTATTACTACACGGAATTGAAAACTAGAAAGTAATATTATAAGTTGGTACATAAAAGAACAGGAAAAATGAGGAACAAAAGTATAAATATATTAATTTTAAAATAAGTGCCGCTTAAAAGAAAATATACTCCTCTTTAATTACTTTTGTTGACAAATGTATTTGATATTTTCCCGAGGATTCGATTTGATGCATTTGGTGAGAAATTCGAGAAGAAAAAAAACCGGACTGTGGACCGGCTGTAAGCCGACAAGCTTTTGAAAAGTGTTTTAATTTGGTCCTGCCTAATATAGTAATATATATGGCATATTCGGATCCCTATGTTGGTCCTCTTCCTAGTTTGTTACGAGTTTTTTTACTAACTCGAATAACTTTATTGAGTTGACTCAGTTATCGATTTATGGAGAGCACGTCCATATTTTTAGTTGTTGATATTTTTTTTTAATATTTCATTTAATCAAAATTTTTGAACAAGTAGTGCGCATAACGTGTTTCTATTGTATCATCCTTGAACTTATGTATTAGATATCGAGTTATTACATGAAACGAGTCATTCACTCGACTCAGTTTTAAAGGAATTATTAAACACAATGTGACTATTATGTTTTTACATAATTTTTTAAAATATTATCTTAACTCGGCTCATTAAACTTTAAACTCAATTTATTAATATTAATAAATAAATTGAACTCAAAGCCTTGTTTATAGTTAAAAAGAGGGCCACGAGGGCATTCCCAATTTGTGGCCCCCAAAAAGTGTATTTCCATTTTTTTTTTCCCTTTGGCCAATGGAAAGTTGAATATGAAAAATATCACCAAGAATTGAATTCCAGTATTTTATTTGAATAAAAGAATAAAGTTAAAAAAATGATACTCACCTCGTGCACCATGAGTAGTGCTTTTGCATATTGTTTTGGGTGTGTTAGTGGGAAAATGGTTCCACCGTATCTTGTTTTATACTAGTTTGCAAGAAAAGCAGAGATTTTGTTCTCCACTGGTAGTGAGTGAAAGGAAGTTCAATGTAATAATTTCTTTGGTTCAACTTTGTTTTGTTGGGCTGTAAATTGCAAAATGCAATTCATTACCAAAATTTTAGGTTTAGCATGTTATTAAGTTTTTTGAGTTAGAATAAAGCTACTTTTTGACAGAATATTTGTACCTAAAAAATGAAAAAAACAAAAGATAATGTGTGTTTTTTTGTTATTTTATAAGTAATGTGATGTTAAAATACACTACAAAAAATGATGAAATTCTAGCCAAAAATTCCAACATAAATATATTCCAATAGAATTCTAATATCAGTTCTAATGGATATTCTACTGCTATTATTTCCGTTACAATTTTCTAATAAATTTCCGTAGAAATTTCAGCGATATTTTGTTGGAATTAATTTTTTCATTAGAATTTCCCTTGAATTTTGACAATTATTACGATAGATTTTTCTACGATTGAAATGTGAGTAAAAATAAAAAAATTCAAGAAATTGGATGTTTCAAAGAAAATTCTTCATCAATAAAAAGGCCGCTGGAATCACAAAATTCAAACTAAAATTTCAATGAAATATACTCGTTGGAATTTTTGTTTGAATTATTCCAACGAAAGCTATACTATTGTAATATCTGTTGTAATTTTTATTAAAATATAAAAAAATTGAATTTTCTATTGAAACATGGCATTTTTTTTGAAGTAATAATATGTTATTATATCAAACTTTAGATGAATGTCGTATGATTCTTTAATAAATTCCAACGTAAGTAGTACAATATGATTCTTTGAGCTAAGAGCAGATAAATTTCTATCTAGGGACTCAAAAAGCATGAAATTTTCTATTTTAGGGATGGAAAGGATAGATGAAGTTGGCAATCTTTTACTGCTCTGACAAGTACAAAGTCAGAGGTTCAGTATATGCAGCAGTGTCATTGATACTCCCAAGGGTGAAATAAATGGTCTTTAATAAATACTAAAATCATGTGGCAATCATTTTTTTTTTTTTTTTTTTTTTTTTTATTGTTTTCTTGGTTGTATCATGCATGTACATACTCAGCAAGTGGGTTGCATATTTTTTTCTATTCAATTGAATTAACTGCTTGCAGCCATCTAATAAAAGTATGATATTTTTATAAGATAAATATACAAAAATTTGTGAATTTATTAACCATAAATTAGCTTCCCTTTCATGTAATTTGTGGTTATGTGGTTTTTACACGAGGACAAATGTAAAAGGAACATTGGGTTTTAGTCGTTATACAACCTTCAATTATGTATTAGAAGAGAAATGCTATGGAGTCAATGGTGGGCTCCTTTATGGATCCAACTACCAATGTTATAGTGTCACGTAGGCCATGTGAAAAAAATAATTAACTCCACATGGCCTACGTGGCACTATAACATCGGTGGTTGCCTCCATACCATTTCTCGTATTACAAACTTACCACTAATAGGAACATTGTTTTTCATTGTAATCTAGCTAAGATTATTAGACATTCGGTTTTCTGTTCCAGTGAAATGTTGAGATGGCCTAATTTTCCAGATACTGAAGAGCATAACCAATTTTGTAATCCCAAAACAATTGGAGATTGTTAAAATTTAAGATTGCAAATTATGAGGAATCTTTTGTCACAGGATCTCAAGAGGTACAGAACTTTCCAGAAAGAGTCGATATATGCTCCAACCACGACAACTGTGAGGCGCGCTGTTCCCAGATCAAGATCACAAAAGGCTTCGTGGCAAAGGAGCCGGTAAAAGGGCACACGGCAAGTCTTTTTTTTTTTTTTTTTTTTTTTTTTTTTCTTTTCTTTTCTCCTTGATAAAACATTTTAATTCATATGACAGATAGTTTTTTAACTTTTTTTAGCTGAATCTTGGTCGTGGATCGATATTTTTGGTTAACAGGTTAATGTCGTTAGGGGTCTTAAGTTATACGAGGACATATTCACTGATGTCGAGCTGTCGAAACTGAACGACTTTGTGAACGAACTTCGATCGGCTGGTCAAAATGGTGAACTTTCAGGTGGCGGCTAGTCTAATTAACTGCATTTTTGTTTTGCCATATATCGTGCAAGTTCTATGTTCGGTAACTTTTGTAGTTATAATCCTTCGACTGGCGTTTGTGTTTCAGGCGAGACCTTCATTCTGTATAATCAGCAGAGGAAAGGAAACAAGAGAGAGTTGATTCAGCTCGGGGTCCCGATTTTCGGAAAGATCAAAGAAGATGAAATCAACACAGTCCAGAAAAGTATGAAACAATTATGGCCAAATTGCATTTCTAGTCATACTGGCTTAACGCCATAACAATTTTAGTCCAAAGATTATAATATTTCGCCTTTTCGGTCCTGTGGTTAAAATATTGCTGCAACTTCATTAAATCAACAAGCAGAAAAATGCATTTTTGCCAACAATTATACATGCTTCTCATATATTATCAATAATCAATTGACATTTGGCAAATTTTCTGAAAATGTGTTCTTGCTGTGTGGAGCAGATTATATAGAGCCAATCCCAGCTCTTCTTCAAGGTGTAATCGAGCACTTGATCCAGTGGCGTTTAATCCCAGAAAATCGGACACCAAACAGCTGTATCATTAGTTTTTTCGATGAGGTTTTTGGGTTTTCCAGATTTAAGTATTTCCTTTAAACTTCTGATTTAGCTGCGTGTTAGATAGATAACCGTCTGAACCGAATCGTTTTTTTCGACATAATGTAGGGAGAATATTCTCAGCCCTTTCTGAAACCACCTCACTTGGAGCAACCTCTCTCGACTTTTCTCCTCCACGAATCAACCATGGCTTTCGGCCGAACCCTCGTGAGCTACGGTGAAGGCAACTACAGAGGATCTCTCATGCTTTCTCTGAACAAAGGGTAAAATCAATAAAAAAGAAAAAACATCATTTGTTTATTCTTTTTCTAAGGCTATATTTGGCAATTGAATAAGCTAGCTTATAGCTCATTCGGTTAGTTTATAAGTTTCCTGTATTCAAATAAGTTTCGTTTGGTAAGACAGACTTTTTTAAAAAGCTCGAGCTTATCTTAGAAGCTTCTTAGGATAACTTTTCAAATAAGCAAAGTTATAAGCTCGAAAATCCCTTATAACCTATATCAGCTAGCTTATCAGCTATCAGCTTTTACCAACCATAATAAATAAAAAAAATACAAATAAAAAAAAAAATGTTTCTCAGGTCGCTTCTCGTCATGAAGGGCAACAGTTCGGACATGGCAAGGCACGCCATGTGCTCGTCTCTAAACAAAAGGACGAGCATCACTTTTTTTCGGGTCAGAACTGAGTCTGAAAACAACCACACATCAGAAACGAACTACTCGTTTTCCAAAGCAATGAGCGTATGGCAACCGGGTGTTTTCTTACCGTGGGCCCATTGGCCCGTTGGCCCGATGGTCGTGAGCCCAACAAGGGGCCCACGTGACGGGACAGGGGTTTTCTTACCGTGGGCTGTTGAGTCGAGAAAGCACGCGAAACAACTGCCGCCACGCGCGCAGAGGGGTCGTTTTCTGGCACTGCCTCCGCCAGTCGGCTCGGGTAAAAACGAGTCGGGCTCCGATTCGGGGGGTCCGTAGACCTTGAAGAAGGGGGTTTTAATTTTGGAAAATGCGAAAATGCTACATGTACATAATAAATGTACATAGAGGTGTACATAACACTCACATAGAGTGGAGTCCACTTAATTTTTTATTTTTAATGGGTCCCACTAAATGTGAGTGTTATGTACATCCTTATGTACAATATTATGTACATATAACATTTCCCTTTAATTTTATGGTGGGGTTCTTGTGGATTTTCTCTGCAGTAGGACTTTTTTTCTTAGTGTAACTTCTGGAGGATGAGAATTGGTAACATTTATGGTTTCTTGTTGTTTGTATCAGTATCGACTTTGCCTTTTCATTTCTTTTCTTGAGGAATGAGTTCTGCTGCTTAAGTGAAGTTATCAAAAGTGAAGCTTACACTACAAAAAGGAGATAATTTGTAGTTAAAACCATAGTAACACAAGATACTGGAAACTTGAAAGGGAGAATGAAACAATCAGCATATATTCTCTCATACAATGGTCAGTACACAAATGGGAACTTTATCAGGTATTCAAGGAATGCAACTCAACTCTGCCATTTGATAACAAAGAACCAGGAAAAAGAGAAAAAAAAACAAAAAAAATATGAAATACATTCACCGTTTACTATAAATTTATGCTGTCCATATTTACTTGGTGTAGACTATCAGCACCCTTAAACAACACATCAGTTTATCAAATTTACTAAGACGGTATAATAATAATTTACACTTCTATGATTCACGTAACATAATGGTCGTTTTACCGGCTCATCAACATCATCATCCTCAATATCCCAACTCAAATTCTCATCATCTTCACCAGCACTCAACCGTTTCTTCAGCTCGGTTCTGCTGGGCTGCAACTTTGGGCATTTGACGAGACTTCTTTCTCATCACCACTTCCAATGTCCTCAATTTCATCCCACCCCAAATCTTCCTCAACCTCCTTCACCACCACTTTAGGCTGATCGCCCGACAAAACCGAAGTGTCATTTTTCTTAGTAGAATCAACTTTCTCATCAACAATCACCCTCGAAATTAGTTCAGATTCCACTTTTCATCCTTTTCCACTTCAGACTCAACTCCTTTCTTGTCTAAAGCAACATTCACACTATCATTTCTATCCAACTCAACCACATTGCTCTTCTCAACATTCCCTTCTTCAATGTTCAACACCTCACTTATGTCAACATGTAGATGGATCGCTCTCAAACATATGGGAAGACCGTCATAGTCAAACTAGCGTCACGGATGTCGAGGTTCTCCAGCTTGAGCGTCTCACGATCGTAAAGCCATAGGTAACCCTGCGAGTCCTGAAGAAACACTTTATCCTTCTTGTAGAGGCCGATGACCCTCATAAAAACAACACGAGTAGTGACTTTGTAAGTGGAATCAAGGGACCAGCAGCTGTGCTTCCATACCCAAATCTCAAAACTAAAAGAGTCACTCTTCCTCTGCTGTCCTCTTGGATAACCAATATTCATTATTTTCTTCTCCTGTCCGTGATAATCAAAAACAATAGCAGCAAGATGCCCATCAAACTCAGCAAGAGAAACACAGAAAATCGTGATGTCTCTGAGAATTATGCTACCAGGCATAGGGATGAGAGCAGGGGGAAACTCCTCCTTAGCAAAGTCGAACGAAATAATAGCAACATCCTTTGTGGTGGAATGCCGTGCCATCCAATAATAAAAGCCATTGATGAAAAGCGACGGGTACTGATAGACTTTCCACAAAAGATCATGGGGATACGGGATTTGATTCCAAGTTTCAAGCGAAAACACATCCGCGTAGGCCTCGTTGTCGGAATGAAAATACTCCAACACGCGACATCTCACCACCTTATAGTCCCCAGGTGCACAAGGATCAAACCCAATACCGAAACCCCACAAGACACTGGTGGTTGGGTCAGGGTGAGGCACGCGTGGCTCCGCCTCAAAACAAGGAAGGGTTATAAACACGTCTGTCCTAGGGTCCCACAAAAGCACAAGATCCGAACGTGCGGGATTTTCGTTACATGACCACAGCATCCATGTGTTGCAACTCGCTTCGACGTGATATTTGGCATTCATACAATCGAGATCGTAGTTTTCAGCTTTGAGCCGAGACAAATCTGGAAGATGATTATCATCACCTTGTAGAACTTTGAACGAGTTGTTTTCCGTTGAGATCACAAAGAAAATGCGGGTCCAGTCGACTACACACTGCACCATAAGCATCAGACTGTCGTTAGGTCTCACACTGCGAGTAAGTGCCCGAATAGTAGTAGGAACACCATCGACACTAGTGGTTGTGTCGCCAGGCCAGCGACTTCTTGAGGAGGATTTGAAGTTGGATTCGGCGTTGGCAACATAAGGGACGACCTCCATCATAACCCTAGACTCGTCACGGATACCGAGATTCACCAATTTGCGCGATTCAATGTCGTAAACCAGTAGGTCACCACAGGAGTCAGAAAGAAAGAGTTTATGGTTCTTGTAGAGGCCCAAAACTCTAACAACATAAGCATCATCTAAAGCCCGGATTCCCTCTGTGAACACCAGAGACCACGTGGCGGCTGCTTCTTCCCACACCCAAATTTTAGGCTTTTCTTATATTAATAAATTATATTTCAAAATGACTTGTTTATAACTTATTGTAGAAAATGAAGAAAAAAGTGATTATAAAATATTTTTGGTATATTTCTTAACAATAATAAAAATGCAGAATCAAATAACGAGTCCTTTTTCTCTATTTCTTTTTTTGATCAAAGGCAATTTGAATAGAGAACACCTCAAGACTCGATTGCTTCAACGATTTATTTAATTGTTAATATAGGTGTTTTGTGCAATATGGTTAAAAAAAATTTCAACAGTTTTTTATTTTTTGTCCTGACTCATGAAAATTTCTGGATACGCCGCTAGCGAAGCCAACTTTGTGGCATATTATTTAAGCGTCATTGGCGGCCAAGGGTCCGGGTGGGGGCAAGCATGTGGTTACTCCACAATAGGATGGGCGTGTCTCATCGCCGTTCGATTATACTCTAGGCTTCGGCGTAGACTCCTTCTTTGTACCAAAAATAAATAAATAAATAAATAAAACTCAACAATGGTTTACCGACGATTCATAGTTAAAAGTTAAAATTGTTGAGCTAACCAAGCTGCTTGCAAACAAAGTTTCTTTCGACTCTTAACAGTTAATCGATCTCATTTATCGAACGATCCAAGGAGTTTGCGAAAATTCAATATGCATCAAACAAATCAGTTTCCATTTATTGCTCATCAATCCTTCAAGTTTCCAAAATTTACCACTAAACATACAGTGTGAATCAGTTTCAAAAAAGGATAAGCGTACAGTTCAAGTGTTTAACCAAATACCACAGCTCACAATCTCGAGACCGCCGTCGTCCCCTCGCCGCCATCCCCCACCGTCTCGTCCGACCCGAGCGCCGCCACCAGGTCGGCGAGCACCGTCCTCCGACAATCTGCGTAAACCTTTCCGTCCCAATTCCGACCCGCCAGATCCCCTCCCAGCCTCAGCGCCGCCTCGAGGGTCTCGCCGGCGCTCTCGTGGGCCGAGTCCACGATCCCCCAATCCACCCCCGTTTCCGCCGTAATCTTCTCCGCCCTGAGCACCACGTTCCGCCAACTCCGGGGCGGGCCGACCCGGGCCTTCACTAGGGCGAACAGGAAATTGGGGATTTTGTACCCGATGTCGAGCTCGCTCATGTACAGAAACCCTCGGTCCCGGCTCATCAGCAGGTAATCGTGGCACAGGGCCAGGCCGAACCCGGCGGCGGAGGCGTGGCCGGTGACGGCGGCGATGGTCGGCATCGGGAGGGAGATGAGGTCCGCGATCAGGAGCCGGAACTTCGCGGACATCGCCTTGGGGCGGGCCAAGGCCTCTGATCGGATCGGATCCGGGTCGGACAGCGCCCACCGAAGGTCGTAACCGTTGGAGAAGAATTTGCCGTGGGCGGTGGTGATGAGAGCGGCGGCGTCCGTTGACTCGGACCTGACCCGGTCTAGCGCGGCCCGGATGGAGTCGATCAGGGTCGGGTTCAGGCGGTGCTCGTCGTTGCCGGTGAGGGTGAGGACGAAAAGGTTGCCGCGTTTGTCTAGCGTGCACATCGCAGAGCTCCGATCCTCTGTGTTCTCCGGTGAGTGGACACAATAAGGTAGCAATAAATAATTATTTTGGTTTATAGGAGAAGAGCTTGTTGTAGGGTGGGCTATTGATTTACCTCAATTTAAGATGGATAGTCTTAATAGAGTAATAAATTGGAGGGACATGTCATGTTATTGAGTGATCGGTATTAAATATGAACACAACAGATATGAACACAACAGATTAGAAAATATGATAAATTTTAGATTACTATCATATTTATGATCTGATACAATACATAACATTAAATTGAAGCATGGATATATGCCATGTCTTCGAGTGAACGTAAAACACGAAAACGACAATTAGAAAAGTAGGATACATTTTTTAAATGATTATCATATTTATAGTTAAATCAAATTGAATAGCATTCAATTGAAGCACGAACACACTATGATAGCACGGTACCACCACCAAGCACTTTTGGTAATGTCGACGGTCTACACCAATGGTTATAGTTGATATATATTAGACGGTTTAATCGGGGATACGATATGTTTATGGTGCAATTGATCGCAACAAATCAGAGGGATATGAACAGACATGTACAAAGTAGGAAAATTAATATGCATAAAAAAGAACAAGACACCGCAGATCTGCTGTGTGGAGATCAATAAAGAGAATGGTTTTCCGGATTTTTTATTAAGAGACTATACAAAGATTACATCCATATGAGTGTATGAGATGTTTATGATTTTCCGTGTATCTTTTGGTATTGTTGTTTATGTTTTGATACAACTCGAAGGGGTCTGTATTTATACACTTAAAAAATAAAATAGCAATAAATGTCGATGCTAGCTGATAACGTAGGGTGGCGTCGCATGTATTCATGCAAACCCTTCTTTTGAGGATGAGACGGATTAGATGCTGGCCTCAACTTTATCAGTTCGATAGTTCGATGTTTAGATGAGGAGAGATCGTCAATCCTTTGTTGAGAAGTTTCAGGAGAGATCGACAAGGACTTACTTCTGCGGCTCTGCCAACGGACGATCGACGGACCTAACATTGCGTATTGGGTTGTTTGTACGTTCTCGGGTCGCCTGCTGCGGGAATTGGCGTAGGCCCCAACTTTTTATCTGGGCTTTATCTTTGGTGGGTCGTATCTTAGGAAATTTGGGCGTTTTTTTGTCTTTTTTCACTAAATTGGTGTGTACTTACATTTCCATAAAATGATAATTTGTTTTAATAAAAACTTGGAAATATTTTGTGATAAAAATTCATATCTAAATGGTAGATTATGTTTCAATTATTAAAAAAAAGAAAAAAAAAATCAAACCCATTGGACCGACTCAGAATCGGCTGGCTATGAATCCCAAATAGTTCCACCGGTTTTATTCAAAAGTTTGTAAACCCTTTTAACATATTTTGTAAGTAAGAAAAAGTATCTTTTTATCTATACCTTATCTTATCAATTAATCTGGTAACTTATAGTATTATTAAACCTATTCAGATATATAACTTTTTTGATGATTTAGTAAAATGTTTGAGCTTATCTCATTAAAGCTTTGAGTTTGACTCGATTTGTTTGATAAATGAATTGAGATAGAGTTTGTTTAATGAACGAGTTAAGGTTGAGCTGGTTTGAATTTAATTTATTGGATATAATGAGTTAATTTTTTTAAAAAAAAGTTATTGAGTGGAGATTTAAGTCGGATTTTGAATTTGTGTTTGAATACGAGTTAAAATGTAATATTAAAGTTGATGTAATATAAAAATAGTAGAAATATAATTGAATTTGATTGGTAGTAAAGAATATGCGAGTAGATAAATAGTGAACATTATTAAAATTATGTGATAATGATTGATTGCCATTATTTAATTATATGATAATATTAAGAAGACTAAAGTTAAATTAAAGTTGAGTTGAATTTGAATTAATAAATTATATCCAATCATCAGTCCGGGGGTTAAAGGAGTTCGGACTCGATAAAAGCTCGTTTCAATTAGAGAAACCAAAATGTAATTCGTCTCCCCAGCCAAAATCAGAATCCCCTTCCAGANAAATGGGAACATTGCCCATGTTAGCTTTAATTTATGAACAGCTTATAAATCTTTATGGCACATATTTTATATATATACAACAAGAATTTCTGTACCATTTCACTACCTCAGACTAGCAATTGTACAAACATCCATCAAAGATCAAATAATTGGTGTTGCACAAAGTGTAGCCACAAAAAAACCAGAGGAGCTCAAAAAACATCCAGTCATAATTTTGCTATTCTCTCTGTGAAAACCATCCAAGCTGCGGACAAACAGATTAAAAACAGGTGATTATGAACGGTTTTAAGCGCAGATTAGATTGCGAAAAGATACAATCAGTATTAAAAACTATGAACAAACCCCCTCGAGTTTTACTTGTTTTTACAAATTCCCCTAGAAATCCAAATACGACTTACAGATAAACTACGAACGCACGAGGGGGACCCGTTTGTGAAGTAGAAATAGATTTGGATGCAATTGTGATTTTCAAAGATCATTTGCATTTCATCGTTTCTATTTTTCAACAAGGCTGAATCTTGAGAGTGGTGTTTTTAATTATCATAACTAAGATAATGTTCATATGAAAATACAAATAGGTAACCATGAAAATTGCACATAACTCATGTACCTTCCAAGCGTACATCCCGAAAAAGGCTACGATATCTGCAGACCAGACGACTGCAAACGATTTCAAGAAGAAGGGGATTATGACGTTAAGTAATGGAATGAGGAGGAATAGATAGTTGAGGGCCTCTTTCTCATTCTTCGAGCAATCCCTTGCACGAAGGGAAGGAATNAAAAAAAAAAAAAAAAGATTAGCAATAAAAAATGGAGAACGAGCACCACATATGAAAATGGTTATCACTTCTACGTTCTAACTAACGACGAATAAGGCAACAAACGAGTCGAGCAGCTTACGAGCTGTGCGAGTACTCGAGTCAATGCTCGACTCGAGCTCGACTCAATTCAATCGAGCAAACGAGTCGAGCCTCGAGCATCATTTCAAGAGGCTCATAAGCTTGACAGAGCCACTCGACTTTTTATTTACATAAATACCCCATAAAGTCTATTTATCAATATTAGAACACGAAGGCCAAAATTATCTATTGATTAAAAATAGGAAGAAAAAATTTTGAGCATTTTTTTTTTCTCTGCTATACGGTGCTATACGGTGCTGAATGTGCTGAATGTTAGCCTACAAAAAGGAAACATGTCTAACAACTAAGTGTAGCAGAGATGCATATGTTGCGTTGGTTCTGCGGGCACACAAGAAGGGATAGAAGCCGGAATGAGGATATTCGAGATAGGGTTGGGGTGCTCCAATTGAGGAGAAATTGGTTCAACATCGGCTGAGGTGGTTCGGACATGTCCAACGGAGGCCTCCTGATACACCGATGCGTAGGGGAGTTCTACAGTGATGTAAAGAGAGGTAGAGGTCGGCATAAACTCACTTGGGAAGAGTCGGTTAAGAGAGACCTTAATTGGAATATCTCCAAGGATTTAGCGGTGGATAGGAGCGCTTGGAGGCTAGCAATCAACGTGCCAGAACCGTGACTTTTGCTCCTTTCTCTTTTTGCTCCAATCTCTTCCTTTTGTTTTGAGCCCTTTTTGTGTTTCTCTTACCATTGGTTCTCTTGGGTTTCATCTCTAGCCTACCCCAACTTGCTTGGGACTAAAAGGCTATGTTGCTGTTGTTGTTGTTGAATCGAGTCGAACACCATTTTACATGGCTCTTCGAGCTCGAGCAATGAAGAAAAAAGTTTGATCTCAACAAGGTCATGCTCGACTCGACTCGACTCGTTTGCAGCTCTAATCACGAGCACCGCTCATATGAAAAGGGTAATGACTTCTAAGTTTTAACTAACAAAGAATAGGCTATCACGAGCACCACTCATACGAAAAGGGTTATGACTTATAAGTTCTAACTAACAACGAACATGCCGAAAGCCGATAGGACATATTTCACGATACATTCGTGTTTTATAACAATAAGCGCAAAACTAAAATTTATGCAAAAACCGTACACTGCGCTGGACCAAATTTTTAAGCAGCAACAAACTCCTTAAACACTATCGTTAGATACGAAGGGTCTACTTACTGAACATCCAGATGGACCACATGCCCATTAGTCTCCAAATGTCGGGTTCGTTTGATGGAAATATGAGATTAAACGAGAGAGCCCCACCCAATAGAAGAGACACATAACCTTGAACCTCAAAGACAGCATATAAAACAGTGCCTGGCACAGCTGGGTTTTTGGTTGCGGTTGAAGCTCTCGGTGCAAAAGTTGCAGCCGTTTTTTGTACTACCTGTCACCAAGAGCAAAATGTATTCAGGAAACTAAGTAAAGCAAACATGCGTAAATCACGCTAATTAATCTGTCACGAGAAAGAGAAGCTACAAATGGTGGGGAAAAGGATAGTTTGCTCGACTGAGAAAGGTACACACTATATACACTGCTGAAAACAACAATTATGCCAAATATTAGATTTTTAGCTCAGATCATATCATCATTTTGTGATCTGTAATTTAGTTTTCAACTTTTCATTGAAAATCTACGGCCNGAATGGATAAAAAAAAAAAAAAGAAAAAAGACTTTCCAATATTAGATGATTTACGTTTATCTTAGAAAATTCGACATCCCACATCTTTATATCCGACCATTACCTTTCAATAACGCGATAATCTCCATAAAATATAAGACATTTGTTGATAAGGATAAAGTGAATACAAAACCTTAAAGCAAATTGCAAGAATTCTGAGTCAAGCCAATTTCTACCTTGCTCTACCTTGCTCAATACATTGGAAAATCAAGAATTCCTAACACTCACCAGCCTAACACTGCATTTGCCACAAACCATTCAACATACATTATGTGCAGAGACAAAATTCTCCATTTTCAACTCTCGGTTTGTCGATAAGTACAAAGTGAATACAAAATCTGAAACAAAATTGCAAATATTCTGAGGCAGCTGTTCTCTACACTGCATTTACCACAAACCATTCAACACAATATTATTTGAGCGCAATACAAAATTCTCCATTTTCAACAGTATAAGATTCAGGGACAGCGTATAAATAGAAAACGAGAGAACAAAAAAAATAAAAAAGGAAACTCGCCTTTTTAAGATCTTTGTCGAGCAGAGAAGTTGGCCCGCCGGAAACCGTGCCTGAATCCTTGACGGCATCTTGATCTCGATCGGGCTGTTGAAGATCGTCAGGAGGCCTGGGGTCTTCTGTTTTCGTGTCCAGCCCATTTGAGCTCGCTCTTGTTCTGAAACCTTTAGGTGGGGGTGCGGAGCTTCGGATTAAGATGATTCTAGGGTTTGGGATTAATGGTTCGGGAAAGCTCGAGATTCGGCCATGGAGGATAGAGGTTGAGGCGAGGGCGGTGTTCATGGCTGGTTTAACCGTCGTCAAGGTTGTGCAGTTGATAGGTTTTGTGAGGTGGGAGACGAACTTTGCTAGTGGCAGTTTGAGTTGTCGAAACTACGCCGTTACATGTCTATTTTCCTTTGTATTTTTATTCATTTATTATTATTATTATATTTTTTTTTTTTTAGATGATGTAATTAGTAAGTGCTTGTGGCTATGTTTGGTAAAACTAACTGATATCTTATCAGTAATTTTTGAGCTTCTTATAGTTTATGACTAGCTGAAAAGCTAGATTATAAGATAAAAGTGTTTGGTAAAATTAGCTGATAAGCTAGCTAAAATAAAAAAATTCAACTAACTTATTTGAAAAGCTACCTAAAGAAGCTTTTCAAATAAGTTCGAGCTTTTTAAGCTCATCCTACCAAACGAGACTTATTTGAATACAGGAAGCTTATAAGCTAACCAAATAAGCTATAAGCTAGCTTATTTGTCTACCAAACACAGCCTGTATGGTAAACAACGATTAAATTCATTATTATTTAATCGTTTTTAAGATGATATAGTATTATTTAATCATTTTTTAGATGATATATAATGAGTAAGTGCATTGGCAATCAAGTTTTTAGGTTAAGTATGATTATTGAATTTTGTATTAGCTATTTTGATTAAATTGTGTTAGCGATTTATAAAAGACAACAAAAAAATCTTATAATTTGGTAATGGAAAATTTTGCACAATATGCCAATTTAAAAATTATATTATATACACGTGTTTAAAGGAAAAAAACTTAATGCCAACGTGCCCAAGAGCCCATGCATGCTCCAATAACAAGCCCATCATACTCCATGGCCCGACTACACCATTCAGCCCACTTACCCATTTAGAACTGCTCGCCAATTTGGAAATTGATTTGAATCACTATAACTAACTCCCTGTTGCATCGACGGGAACAAACATGAAA